AACGTGGGGCGGCACGAGAGGGCGGCGATGGCTGCGGGCGGTCGGACGGTCGGGCGGTCGGGGGCTGACACTGTGTGCCACGCAACGGCTAGGAGCTTTTGGTGGCACGGCCAGCAAATTGGGTGTTGTTGTTGTTGCTTGTTGCTTGTGTGCCTTGTTAATGAAATTTTCCGCTCCTTTGGCAGACGTTTGTTTACATGACGCTGTGTGTGTGCGCCTTCGTGTGTGTGTGTGTGCGTGTGTGTGTGTGTTGCTCTTGCCATTTATTATTGCAAATTGTTGTTGTTGCTGCCGCTGTTGCTGCTGCAGCGCCTTTTGTCTGTTGTTGCAACTGATGATGATGACGTTGACGTTGCATGATGAAATAACAAACCGGATTAATTTGATTTCGTGTTGCCCCGGCGCGGGCCATCGGGCCCAATTCTAGCCAAGGCAAAGGCAAGGCTTTTGTGCGCCAGCTGCCCAGCTGCCCAGCTGCCACGCCCAAAATGCTCTCAACTGCAGCTCGTCTTGCTCGCGTTCTGTCCGTGTGTGTGTGTGTGCGTTTGTGTGTGTAAATTAATTTTGCAGCAGTTGGCAGCTCCACCTGAGCAACAGCCACAACAACAACAACAACAAGAAGAAGAAGAAGAAGAGGCCACCACAGGCAGCGGCAGCTAGAGGTAATCGCATCCTACAGCCGGCTCGAACACCATCGATCCAATTCGCATAAGTGTGCTTCACTTAACCAAACACTGGAGGCACTTCCACAAGCCTCCAGCGAACAACAAGTAGGTGTGGCCCGGGTCGGGCGTGCACGACTGGGACATACACTGCAGCAAGCGCTGCAGCGGCTGAGTGCGAAGTTCGTGTTGTGCACACACACTTTGGACAATGGCTGCGCTTCTTCCTTCTGGATAATCGATAATTATCGATTTCGTGCTGAGTTGACGTTGATTTGTTGTGAATGTGATCTGCACACCAGAAGGAATCACGTTCCCAATTCGAGCTCTTAATGCAGGGCGCGTATCCATACAGAAGCTGTATCCACAGATAGCACTCAATTGACATGCTGTTTCATTCCAAGCCGTTCCGCTCGATTCTTTTTACAGTTTATAGCAGCAAGTGGTGAGAAAAAGTAGCTTTACGCAATGCAAATTGTCTGTATTTTGGGTAGTTCAAGGAACTATGGAACTAAGGAACTTTCATAGAATCCAGAGCACAAAGCTTCTCGAATGATCTACTGTTTCATTTCATGACGTTCTATGGATTTGAAACTAAGCATACATTTAGCATCTAAGCCATAAATAGGTTATCTCTAAATTAATTGGCTATCGTTCTAACGAACGCGTACTGTACATCAGTCAACTGGCATGAAGTTTCATTCCGTTTCGTTTCGTTTCCATTTCATTTCATTTCATTTTTATTTCATTATATTTCCAATTCATTCCATACCCTTTTCATTCCATTTCCACTTCATTTAATTTCCATATCGTTCAATTCCTATTTTGTATCATTTTCATTTCCATCTCGTTCAATTTCCATTCCATTGTATTCCATTCCCACTTCGTTCCATTAACATTTCGTTTCATTTTCATTTCGTTCTACTCCTATTTCGTTCCTCTCAAATTTCGTTTCATTCCTCTTTCCCGTCTTGCATTTTAATCCCATTTTTTTCTTTTTCATTTCTGGCACTTGGCCAAAATGCGTCTTAGCCACTAAATTTAGTGGGCTGCAACGAAGCGCACTGAGTGGCTGCCAGCCATTTTGGGCTCTGCCAATTTCTCAGATGCCCAAATTTATGAGCCAAGTTGTCACTTGCAACTAACCAACCAACCCCCCCGCAACCCATCCTCCCCACCCCTGCGATGCATCCTTCTGCCTTGCCCCTCCCAAGCATAAATCATTTTATGACGCCAAATGCGTAGGCACCTAAGGGCCCAACTGGCAGAAGCAAATGCCAAACCACTTTATCTTCGTTTTCAGTTTTCAGTGGCTCTTGCCAAACCCCTGGCTACCCCATCCTCTATGCTCCCTCCCCCGAACTACGTCACCCCCCTCTTACCCACAGCCGCTGCGATTTGTTGCGATTTGTTCAATCGCTCAGTTGTTTTTTTTCTTTTTTCTTCGTTTTGTGCTTCTTCTTTTGCCACGTCTTTGGACCGTGCCAAAAAGAATTTCAGCAAAAATGTCGCCACATTGCTGTACAGACTTAACCAACACTGCCCTGTCTTGAACCAACCCCACCCCCACCACCTTCGCCACCCGCTCAGACGACGCCCCTGCCTCGTTTTTTTTTTTGCATGCCAACCTATTTTGGCATATTTTGCTTTTTATTATAAATTTTCATGCTGCTTGCCACTGGTCGTCGTCGGCGGCGTCGCAGCCACTTCAGTGGGCAAATCTTCATGCCCCATGCCCCACTGCCCCACGCCCACCCACTGCACCCCCCCCCCCCCCCACCACCCCCACCCCTTCTCCATTTACTAGCGCCTTTACAGCTGTCGGTGTTTAGTGGTGCCTGTGTCTCTCGCACATGACTAATAGCAGAACTAAACGATTTGATGGACCAGAAAAATGATGACTTCTTTTTTGGTCCTTCGACAGACAGTTCTCTCTAGGGTGGACGAGGTCCTTGCTGTCGCTCTGTGTGTGCGTCTGTGTGTGCGTGCGTGTGTGCGAGGGTTGCTAACTCAAAGTTAAATCCTTTGCTTTGACTTTGCCCCGCCGCTATGCATATAGAGTGGTTCGTTCGGTGACTCTCGTCCTTGCGCATCCTTTTCGTGTGGCAAATCCTTTTATTGTGACAGTTGTTGTTGTTCTGTTCGGTTGTTGTTGCTGCTGCCGGTCGCTTTTGTGATCAACATTTAATGTTTTCTTATTATTGTCAGCGGCTCTGCTGTTGTTGTTGCTGCCGCATGTTGCATGAAAATCGGTTTAATGTTTTGGAAGATAATCTAATTTGGTCACTTATATGCGAATATGTATATTATTTGCTATTATGTGTGAACACAGCGAGCAAGAGTGTCTCCTTCAGTCCATGACACTGACTTTCTCCCCCCCCCCCCTCTCTCTCTCTCTCCCCCCCTCTCTCTCTCACTCTCTGTTGGTCGTCATGCTGTCATCGCCCGCTTTGGCAGCGTCTTTCATGTGGGTGCTATAATGCCTTTACGGTCCGGTCCGGTCCGGTCCGGTCCGAGTGTATTAGCATTTCGAATACATTCCATTTACATTTTTTCAATTTCAACGAGTTTTTTATTTAATAATTCGCAATTTGCATCACATTTACAGCGGCAGCAGCAGCAGCTGCAACATTCGGAGGCGCCCCCAAACGGCCAATGACCAAAGGGTCTAATGTGGCAATGCCTAGCCTACGCCATATGGCGCCTCCATCCAGCTATGCCAGGCATTCCATTTAAGACGAGACGAAATCAAGCAGCAAAACTGTCAAGTCCACCATAATCTTGGCCCGTTTCGGCGCATCGAAGAGTCCCGAGGCCCTCCCGTCGCTCATATTCAATTGAGAGACAAAACTTTGTTTCTTTTTCAATTATTTAAAAAACCTATTTGCTTATTTTAGTTTACAAAACTGGGGGTTCGATCCCTCAACTTTATGGACAGCATGCCGACGACTTGGGCTTCGCTTTTATCAGTCAGTCAATTCTTCAGACAGGTCCAACCATCTATGAATATAAATTCATTTGCAACTGTTTCAAATATTATTATATAACTAGGCCAGAACCAAACGAAAAAAGAAGTTCGAGTGCTCCTATCGGGAGTGCCTGACTGAGCAGATTCCCTGCACCTTCTTCTACCAACACTTATGTACACCTTTTCTTACCTATTTAATGGTAAGATTCGGATCGACTTGGCTGCACAAGATTATATATACTTTATGTAATCGGAGATACTCTCTTCTGGATTGGCACAAACAGATGTTTCCTTTGTTTTACCTTTCTGCAATGAATTCAGGGTATACTTATATGCCTCCTGCTAAAAGGCATCCATTCTAACCTTTGGAATTTACATTTTAGCAATAATCAAAGCTGCAAGCATCTCAAAAATGTACGTTTATACGCTACACAGTTTGAACCAACGTCTCGGTCCAACGCTCGCTTCTCGAACCTGGTTTTGTGCAACTTTATACGTGGAATTCGCTACGAATCTCGTCACATATCTTACAAACTTGTCTGGCAATATTGTGAGAGTAAAAGAAGACAACATCTCCGAATCGTTAAAGTCGATATATATTCCTGATCCGCTTTAGCGGTCGAGCCGACATAGTATGTCCGTCTACGCTAAGCAAAATCTGCGTTATTTCCTTTTCGCTTCGTTCCAATTCCATTTCGTTCCAAATCCATTTCGTTCCATTGCCATTTCGTTTCAATCCACCCACCTTCGTTTCGTTCCATTTTCTTATGCTCCTTATGTCCAAAATTTTATTATATATTATGCAGCTCGATTAGAAGAATCGTTCGAAGAATGCGTTTTTCCATTCTCCACTTCGTTCCATTCCCATGTCGTTCCATTTTGTTTGATTGTGGCACTTGGTTGGGTTCTGTCAGGCTCTGAGCAAAATCTTATCCAATATTATATAGCTCGATAGGAAGAATCTTTTGAAAACGCGTAAATCCATTTTAATTTCGTTCCACTTCCATTTTGTTACTTTGTGGCACTTGGCCGGGTTTTGCCATGCTCCTAACCTATGGACAAAAAATCATCATATATCATATAGCTCAGTAGAAGGAAACGTTCGAAAAAATGCGTTTTAATGTGGTTAACTTTTTGAGATAGCAATTACGAGTTTAAATACTCTGCCCACATAACTGTGTTGCATTTTTTTTAACCAACTGATACGGTTCGGGATTCGGTTTACGTTAAATAAAAAGCGGAATTGCGCGTTTCCAGAAAGGGAAAAAAATATAAACCCGATTTGCAGTCGTAACAAACTGCAATTGAACTGGTTAAAAACAACAACAACAACAAAATATAATAAATATTGTGGTTTTGTTTATTTGCAGGTATGGTTCCAGAATCGACGGGCCAAATGGCGCAAAACCGAAAAGGTCTGGGGCGGCAGCACCATCATGGCCGAATACGGCCTATACGGGGCAATGGTGAGGCACTCGCTGCCGCTGCCGGAGACGATACTCAAGTCGGCCAAGGACAACGATGCGGTGGCACCCTGGCTACTAGGTATGGAACAGAAATGTAAATGCAACAATCATATCGCAAACTATCAACTATACACAAAATGCATTTAAAACCAAAAAGAACTTATCCCAGCCCGCGCTTCTCTCCCTTCCCAACCAAGGCACGCTGCAGCTTCAGTCCGTAGGTCGCATTGAATTGAGGCAGCTTTAATTGAATTTTCAGCGAGACAAAGAGCCACAGCTCGGGGATTATAAAATGATATACTCTCACACACACACACACACACACACACACACACACATATATATATAGATATATAAGTTTGGATATCCTGTCGAAATTGTGAGCATATTTGGCGTGCATGTCGCAATGGACGGGACGCATCTTTGGCTCAATCGGGTGTCCTCTGCTGTTTTGTCGTCATATGTTGCGCACATTTTCTTGGCCCTTGCCTCAAATGACTTTGCGGATTAGCGAGGCGCACTGCCAGGCCATTGGTGGGTGGGTGGGGCAAGAGCCGGGCATTTGCCCCTTATGCCACACAGCAGTTAACAAGTGCTTTGGGCAACTCTCGGGGGTTGCTTTTGACTTTTATTTGTTAATAATCGCTTAATAAATGCAAAATGCACACACACACACACACACACACACACACAATGCCAGCGCGAAGGGTGAGCTCGGCAAGGGGTGATGGGGGGAGGGGGTTGGTTTGCAGTTACTGCTTTAATTTGGCATTTATCGTTTATCTAGGCGCATTGTGAGATGTGTTTTGCCAGCGAACTGCAGGTTTTATTGGCACTTGTGAACCACCCCCCCCCCCCCTCCCACTACCACCACCTCCCACCCTTAGAGAACGTAATGCTTTGGGTGTTTCGCAAATTAATTCCCAAGTAGCACCAGGGCCGTGCTACTTAAGTGGCTTAACGGCTCAGCTTTGAGGTTGGCACCGGGCATTTTTCATCTATTCAATATTCTTTTCCTTTTCCCTTTTTTTTTTTTTTTAATTAAGTATCTGAATGTCAAATTAGTTGGCAATTGATGCGTGGCCAACCAGTTAATAATGCTCAAAATGTTATCTGCCATTCAGTTTTCGAGCGTAATTTTCATCGAGTTATGGCTTGGTATTCCATCGGGGATTTGTTTCGGGCATGACAGTCCTTATGCATATGCTGTTTAAGCGAGTTGTGATAGGTTTGAACCATCTGTTAGCTCGCGTCAGTTCGAACCCCATTATGAGCCGAGCTGCACGCTTTCGATTAATACAGTGCGACAAGCTTAAAGCTTTGGGCGAGCCTTCTTGCATACCCTTAAAGCTCTTACTGCTTAACTTGTTCCGAATTTTGACCAGTTCGAGGAGCTTTAAGTTGAAGCTTAAAGCTCTTAGTGCCAGAGCAAAATTGTTACCAGTTCGAGGAGCTTTAAGTTTAAACCTTCATGACCACAGAAAGCTTTTTGCCAAAGCTGTTTATATTGTTCTGATTATTCGAATTCCCAAAACTTTCAAGTTGAGTGTAAGCAATCGAGCTAATTACTATTAAAAAAAATGTTTCAAGTACACTTAAGATATGTTTCACAAGTAAGCTTAGAATAATTCAGATATTATTAGAATAATTGAAAGCTTTAATTGAAATGCATTGACTACAAAGTTCTTTGATTAATCGAAAGTTAGATGAAGGCTTGTTTCGATGCGCTTTAAGATTTCCTTTTGAGTTATTGATTGAGCAAGATTGAGCTTTAAGATATCCTTTTAAAATATTGCGCTCAGTAAATAGACAATTCTTTGGTATTCAGTATTCTTTTGGCTTCGAGCTTTCAGTAAACGTGTATTGAAGAAAAGCTCGCTGCCACTCTAAGCTATTAATACTAGATTAAGCTTCAAGCTGAGCTTTAGTAAAAGTAATTGCATTGAAGAAAAGCTTGCTGCCACTTTAAGCTAATGTCATCTGCCGTCCAATCCATGCCCCACTCATTCTCACCAAAGTACACGTATATAATCAAGGAAATGCTAAAAAGCTCTCTCTTCTCTCTCTCTCTCTCTCTCTCTCTCTCTCTCTCGCTCTCTCTCTCTTTGTTCTCCCCTGGCAGGCATGCATCGCAAATCGATTGAGGCACAATCTGCGCTCAAGGACGACTCCGGGGTCAGCGATCACGAGGATTCGGCCGGCTCAAAGTCAGCGCATTCGGATGAGCTGCGCTCGCATTCGCGCGCGCTCAGCTCGTCGACGGAATCTTTGAACGTGGTCAGCCCGGCGCCGAGCAGCTGTCCGACAAACGCTTCAACGGCGCCGCCGACATCAACAACGCCGCACGGCAGCAGCGGCTATGCGGCTGCCTCATCGGCGGCCACAACGCCGACGGGCGCCACCACCAACAGCTCCGGCTCGCCGCACATTGAGCTCAGCTCGCCCTCGCCGCAGCAGACGCAGTTGCTCCAACAGCAGCAGCAGCAGCAGCAGCAGCAGCCGCCGCCGCCGCCAGCACAGCTCTACTCTGTGGCCACGCCCAGCTATCATCCGCTGCTGGATGCGGCAAATGCAGCTGGCGCCGGCGCCGCTGCCTCCAGCAAGGATTTCCATTTGATTATGAACACGGCCGTCGCGGCGGCTGCCGCAGCTGCTCAGCACCAACACCACCAGCAGCAGCAACAGCAGCAGCAGCAACAGCAGCAGCAGCAGTCGGCGCCCGCCGCCTTGCCACATCCCGCGCTGCATGCGCATCATCTGTCCGCCGCGGCGGCAGCTGCCGCGCTCATGGAGCACGATCCGGATGCGTTTAGGTAAGCCTCAAGTTATCCAACTCAGATCCGTTGAGTCTGTTGGCTGCTTTAATGCCCTTTCGCCAGCTGAAAGGAGTATATTGGTTCTCTTGCTGTTCGTCTGTCTATTCGCAAGCAAACATATACACACAAAGCTGTGCTTCTTCTTTCCTTAGCCCCATTCTTTGTACGGGAATGCATCCGGCATTAACTTCGGCCTTTATAGTCCGATCTTTATGAAACTTTCTGGTCTTAAATGTGGCATATAAAAGTGTGAAATCCGTTGTTGTTGCCCCTTAAATGAAATATTCTTCAACTGTTTATACTCTTTCATAGTCTACACGACAAGTTTACTGCATGTGGCTCTTATATTTATCGATATTTATCGATATTTATCGATATTGTGAAAATTAAATAACAAATCGAAAACGAATGATTGACTAGTTCTGTGTATAGCTTAGGAGAATCCCAGATCGAATGTTCATGCAGACAGACAGAAGGAATTTTCGAAGAGCTTTTACAAAAACAAGTCTCATCAAAATCGATATTAATCGATATTATGAGAATTTGAGAATGTCTTTGCAAGTAAAGCTGCTTTACAACACAGGTTTTCGGTTCAAAACTTGATTTCCAATTGTTTTGATAATCCAATTCATCTTTTGAGAGCCGTAAAAATGTTTAAATCATTTCAATTGCGAGCTTAATTTGATCACCATCCAAAATCGGCAACTGCCAAATTTGTTTAGCTGTGAGTTGAGTTTTCGAAAAATAAAAAACTTGGTTCTTAGTAGAAAATAAATTTGAATTCCGTGTCGCAGATTGATCTGAAAGTATTCGATTAATCGTCATCTCCTTAGGAATTTGACGGGTGTTGGACGGCGATAGAGTATTATGCAGTCGGTCATGATCGATATTCCGATGTGTTCTCTTGTGTTGCAGGAACAACTCGATTGCCTGTCTGCGTGCCAAGGCGCAGGAGCATCAGGCGCGACTCCTCAACAATGGCGGCCTCTTTCTGCAGGTGCGCAGCTTCGCGGCACAGGCTCAGGCCCAGGCCCAGGCGCAGGCGCAGGCGCATGCCCAGGCCCAGTGTGATATGCTTAAAAGCGAGGAGCGTCACGGCAACAACAACAACAACAACAACAACATCAACTGCAGCAGCAGCAACAGCAGCGCTTATCAAATGCTGCAGCTGCAGCAAACGGTGGCAACGGCAGCGCCCATCAAAATGGAGCTGACTTCCGGCGGCGGCAGCCACGCCTCCAGCGACGATGTCTGACGCCAGTCAGCGTTGCCAGACAGCTATCGTATGCCAAACTAACTGCGAGCCCAGTTATATTTTAGCTACATACATACATACATACATACATATATAGAGAAGCACACAATCCAAAAATATATATTTAGTAATTTTTTTTTTTGCATAGATTTAAACTACATATTTATTGTCGTGCTAGTAATCGAAATTGCAACCAATTGATGTCTTCATTTGGGGACCCCAACGATCTTGTGTAATCCAATATGACATGATATTATAGCTGCTAAGTGTCAAGAATGTAATATTTTTAATAAAACGCATAATCAACATATCAACCTTCGGTCTCTTCTCCATATTTCAATGTATGTTTCAAATTCGATTAACTAACTTTGCTATCCAATAAAAACAGCTGGCATAAAAAGCCGTTAGGTCAAGCGCTGCCAGACTTTAAAGTGTTTTGCTGCTTTTTCAACTGTTATACGTTGGCGCACTGAGACCTAGATGGCGCTGTGCGCTGTGCACCGTGCTGCGTGTCATAGCAGGCAGCAAATTTGAGCTCAATAAACAGACTTAGGTAGAGTTTTTTTCTATCGAATTTAGATTTAATATCCTTGTAGATTTAATGGACGAGATCAGGGGATTATTGCAGTATTCTCTTTTATTTACGAATTAGTGCAAAAACGAAGTTTTGCTTAGACACCTTTTTGGCGTTTTCGCTGCAGAGAATTTGGACTGTACATTTTTCCCCGTGATATTAAAAGATAAATAATGGGTTGCCAAAATTGATTTCTAGTACACACATCTAATAGTCGGCCAAATAAAAATTAAACATTCACTCGTTCATGATGAGGCGCAGAAAGCGGCGATAATCGATTTGCTTTTTGGCATTCGTTAGGCCGCGCGTGAGCGCGATTAGCTCGGCGCTGCTGAAGCTATCGCCGGTCCGGTTGAGCAGCTCCAGCATCCGTTCGGGCGTCACGTAGCCGGTGTTGGTGAAGTCCAGGCTGCGCAGCGCCTTGATGAACGCGTCCCGCTTCTGCATGTCCATGTGGCAGGCATTTTTGCCGAGCGCCTCCAGATAAATGCGCGCCTGCTGCAGCTTGGCGGCGGCCTCGCCGTCCGTGCAGAACATCGTCTCCATGAGCGCCACATAGTTGACATTGCCGCTGTCATCCTTCATGGTGTCGAGCAGAGCGGATGCCTCCGCCTCGTTTAGCCGTTCGCCAACCGTTGTCAGCATCCGACGCAGTTGATCATATGGCAGCTTGCCCGTACCGTTCGAATCGCAGCAGCGCAATCCGTTGATCATCATCGCCGCACTGGGCATATTGTCCAGCTTGGCCAGCTCACAGTAGATGCTCAGCACCAGCTCGAAGCTGACGCGCGTCGGCGGCTTCACCTGCGGGAACTTGAGCAGGCGCTGCACCAGGCACGCCTTCAATTTCGACTCCTTGAAGTGGACACCCATCGCCCGCAGGCAGTCCGATACCTTCAGTATGTCCAGCGCCTTGCTGCCAAGCGGCCGCACAAACAACTGAAAGGTCTCCCGCAGCTTTATCACATGGGGCAGCGCTGGCAGCAGCTCGGCACATGTCCAGAAATGGCTCACCTTATAGATGCCCTCGCTGTCCTCGCTGACCGTTCCGTTCATTTTCTTTAAATTTAATAGTTTCGTTTTCTTTTCGTTTTTTTATTTATTACTTTAACCCGTTTCCCGCTACGTTTTGCTATTCAATTGGTTTTTGGGCTTCTCAAAACTCTAACATTTTTATGAGAAAATCAAAATTTTGACGTTAAATAATTCAAAGTGTGTGCGAGCTGAACTAAGCCGCTTCGCTTTACACCTTTTATGGCCAAAGGAGCTAAGCCAATGTGATAAATATTGACAAATTCACACAATTACAGAGTACAGTGCACGCTCGCTAACTGAAACACACACTCAACTTGCGCCGTTGCTTCAAAATCATTTATCATTCATTAAGGTAAAGCCTAGCACTATGGCACTTAGCCATATTTAAGTCCTGGAGCTTTCACAAAGATCGCACCTTAGTTAATCACGAACACATTTTCAATTCTTAAGAATCCCATTTAGTCCACAAATACTTACGCTTCACATTTCCATTAATAAAACAATGACAATCAGATGCTGTTCATTCAAATAAATATCTTTATTTATCATTTCAAAAACTTTCCAAAAAATTGTTGGTAAATTCGTACGTTAATCTTACAACATTTGATGCTAATTTCGTAAAAGGCGCAATTCAATATAAAAATGAAGAGAAAGAAATTTAAAAAAAAAATATATCTATATATATATAAAAGTATACAGTATCGTTTGGTATGCTCTATATATAACTAAAAATATATATTATATGTGGAAGGCTCGATAATATTAATAATAATCGTTTGCATTATAATTCTAATAGTATTAATAAATACACAAAATTTTCATTTCAATATCCTAAATTCTAGATTTTTGGTGAATGCATCAAAGATGCGGCAAAATCTTTTAATAAATAAATAAATGCTTGGCTAAAATGTATAAACTAATTAAGGATTGCAATAAGTGCTTAGATAGACAACGTTTAAGAAACGTAGACACTAATCAGATAACGAAAGAGACAGAGAGAGAGAGAGACAGAGAGAGAGAGAGACAGAGAGAGAGAGAGAGAGATGCACGTTTAGATGCTATCTCGCCCGCTCGCCCGGTCGGCCGCTGGGCATTGTTATTGCTTGGAGCTGGCAAAGATGGTCTCGCAGTGGGTTATCAACGAGGAGAGCATGAATATCTCCTCCGTGAGATTCGTCATGTGCTGTGGCGTGGCAATCAGCGTGGGCGCAAACACAGTGGCTAAATTGTGCTCATTCATTTTGTTGACCGCATAATGCGAGGCGACACTGTAAATAGGACACAGACAGATGCACAGACTGAGCAGGTGTGGACACGGACTCACCGCTTCAGATGCTCCAGCATATACTGCAGGCAACTGTAGTGCGCCGGCGGCAGGCGACGCACTGCCTCCGCCATTAGCTGCAGCTGCTCCGTTGGCATCGCATTGCCTGCAAAGAAGTCAAATTAACTGGCTGGCAAATGAAAAGATACCCATTCTTTGAACTGGGCTACTTACGGCCGGCAGCCATAAAGCTGGGATACGCCTGGAACGTGATCAGCGGCACGGGCAGCAGGCGCAGATAGAGCTTAAGTGTGCCAGCAATTACATTGACATTGCCATAGGCCGCCTCGGACATGTCGGTCTTGTCGCCGTCGCGATCGAGCGCCAGCTTGAGCGCATCGATCTCATCGGCAAATCCAGAGACGCGATAGATGCCCTCCTGGAGCATGCCGCGTGCCTCCACCTCCTCGACACAGCGACGGACCACAAATGGTATTGTGCATTGATGCAGCTGCACCATGGTGGTCAAGTCGGTGCCAAAGACGCCACGGATGCACTTCAAATCGGGCACACATTTGGGCGGCACCAGCTCGGAGCATTTGTTGTGCGCCATAAAGCCGCAGGCATCACATTTGACGCCCTGCGCGGTGAAGCCCCACAGAAAGTTGGCGCAGAACTCACACCAGTTGAGCCCCTTGAAGGTGTGCACCTTAAAATTGTGCGGCTTCTCATACACAAGAGGCATGGGATCGACGGCAACTTGTTGCGGCTGCTGCTGCTGCTGCTGCTGATGCTGCTGTTGTGGCGGCAAGTGCTGGCTGATCTGGCTGTCCTGGGACGGCAGTGCAACCGCAGTCGCATCCGTTGACGCAGCAGAACCGTCACAAGCATCTGTTTTGGTCGCGGCATTCATTTTGCCCAGCTCATTGGAGAGTGCACGCAGCTTGCGGCGATTCAGCGTCATGTAGGGGCTCTGCTGGTAACAGTTTTTGGTTTGCTGATTAATCTGCTGTATGATGGGGCTGGCGTGCAGCTGCATGTGAAAGTTGATTAGCCCATCGGCGACCATTTCATGCACCGTCTCATAGTGTTTGTCCTGCTCGCGCAGATAATGCCCATCGCCCGGCTTGTAGAAGACCTTGTAGTGCTTGGTGCGCTTATTAAAGCGCACGCTCAGCGTATGGTAGCCATCCGTTTTGGGACTGCGTCGCACCAGATAGCTGCCGTCGCTGGCATTGGCCAGCAGCTGCTCCGCCTCCAGGTGACCCATCACGCCATGGTATTCCGTTCCGTACAAACGCACCGCCTGATTGTTCTCCTCAACGGCGTCGGCGGTGCTCTTGGCCGGCGGTAGGGGCAAGGTGCGCTGACAACGCACAGGATGCGGCGCCGGTGCGTCCAATTGTATTCTATACACTGTACGATAATGTGAATTAAGCTAAATCTGCTTGCGTACAGCACACTGATTGGATATTACTCACATTCTGGCTTCCAGACCTTTTGCACTGGCGAACTTGGTTCACCGCCACCTGGCAATGTAGCGACTACGCCCGCAGCTTTCGACATGGCAAAAACAAAGCGCAACTAAATACAACGCTAAGCGCTAATTAAGGAATGCAGTTTAGCACTGTACAAAATGCTTTAAGCTTAAATTAAATGTAACATTTTTGCTTTTGTTTATTTCTATTCTGTGTTGTGCTTGAGCAGTGTGACCGACAGATGGCGACAGACAAAATACCAACAAAATACCAAAATACAAAATACTGGCCGACATTGATTGATCGATCGCCTTGGGAGCCACACCTTAAATGCAATGAATAAAGTTTGCTAATTATACATACAACTTTTAGCTATAGTAGCAAATTTGTATTCTCTTTCGCTGAGTAAACAAAAATAACATTCGATTTGTTGTGAAACGCCACATTTTATATTTAAAAGTATTGCCAATTCTCGTTTGTCTTTGTAGCACTGACAATTTGAGCAACGCGCGCTGCTTGCCCCGACAATAAGCCCGTTGCTACAATACTTCAGAGTTTTTGTGAACGGTTTCAACTTTATTTTCGTTTTGTTTAAGGATTTATTCGAACGTGTTAGAGTTAACTGTAAGAAAACACCAAATATTGTAAGTTTCATATAATTTTAATAACTTTAAGTACGTTTCTTTTGTAAAAAGATCTACTATCATTCGCTTCAATTATTAAATATATTATTAAATTATTCAAATAAAAAAAAAACATGTAAAACTTTGAAATGCGCATTAAAGTTCAATTATACGCTACCCTCGCATATATATCAAATCATTAATTAAGAAATACTTGTTACGATACTCGTTGAAGACTTGAGTTCCATTATGGGTATGTATATAAAAATCTGTTGGATTATAAACTCGATACATTTAGAATAATACGCAATGTTAACGATGCGACCTCTCCGAGGATGTGCATTACCCTGCATTAAACAATGGTTCAATGTTGTGTGTGCTGGTGTGTGTGTGTGCTGGTGTGTGTGTGTGTGGATGTGTGTATGCTGCGCTTAACTGTGGGTGTTAGTCATGGGGTTGGTCGCGCTTAAGGTGCGTCTAGTTGTATTTAGTTGGAATCAATTCTATTTGCCCCGAAATGCAAGAATATACAAAAGATACAAATTTATGGCTAAGCGAGAATTAAAAGTGGAATCTTGGAATTGGGAGTTAAGTTTTGGCGGAATGAACTCGGCTACCTAACATGGCAGGTGTGTGTTGCTGTTATTGTTACTGTTGTTGCTGATCTGCGTGTTGATAGCTCTGTTTTGGGGCTTAGCCGCTCATGACCATGCGCACGAACTCCTCGTAGTTGATGTTGCCCTGCTGATCCTCCATGTTGGCCAGCAGCTGTTCCACCTCCTCATCGGTAAGCTTCTCGCCCAGCGTGGTCAACAAGTGGCGCAGCTCAGCGGATGATATATAACCGCTGGCATCCTTATCGAAGTGACGCAGTCCCTCGATGAAGTCATCGGCCGTATCGCCGGAGCGCGCCTTCGATATGGCCTGATAGATGGGCAGAAATACCTCAAATGAGATACGCTCATCGGGCTTCAGCTGATGCGTGCACTTCTTCACGTCCGACTCGGTGGGATTCTGACCCAGTGCCCGCAAGCACTCGCCCACCTGGCTCAGCTGTATCTTGCCATCGCCGCGGTTGTCAAACAGATTGAACGCCTCCTGGAACTCTGCAAAGATTTTAATTGAATCAAAGTTAGTTATGGGTTATAAATCATTTAGTTTCAGCCCCACACCCGTTCCCGTTCCTGTCCCCGTCGCCAATTACAACCTTCGAGCGTGGTGAATGTAGGCTTTACGTGTGCCGTGTAATAATACATAATGAATTGAATTTTATTGAATCTCAACCGTTTGCCTGACTGCGCCGCCTGCTACTGAGACACTTGGTGCGATGCTGCAACAGATTGCACAACATGCGGCAGCAGCTGCAGCCGTTGAGTATACCCTTGCAGAGGGCATTATCATATTGTCATAAATTGTGTCACACGTTGAAGAAGCCGCCATATATTTAACTGTAGGATATATACTACGACAGCCGATTCGTCTTTCTATATACCATATTCTCTCTCCCTCTCTATTTATCTATAGCCTACGCCTTGGCAAACTTTATCAGCTCTTGATAAAACTATTTGGGATTATTTGGTAAGACTATTGAATTATATTTGATTTTCCTAAATGATGCAAAGGGAAACGTTTAGTAAAACTCTGTTTATTGAGTAGTTTTAGGTGAAAATGCTCATTCATTATATCTATATTAATTTTTTAGTTTTTTTATTTATCAAATTCTGTTTGTTTTTAAAGTTTTGTTGATTGCATAGAGCTGTAAATCGCAATCAGTTGACAATACCTATACAGGTAATTTTTGTGTTTTTCTGTCAATGCAAGTGCATTTGCCCGTCGGCATTCTGAAGCTGTTCTTTCCATTTCTGTTGTTGTTATTAACACGCGCTTGCAACTGGCCAAAAATGGCATCAAAAACAACAACAGAATTTTGTCCATTTTAGGTAAAAACTGAGCAGCTGAACGTGCTGAACGCGTCGTCGTGCGTTCAGTTCAGGTAAATCAATACGTACAATGCGGTCAGCTGACGTCACTGCAGCAGCAGCAGCAGCAGCAACAACAACAGCGACTTATCGCCAGGCGACAGGCAATTGAATAGATTTTGATTAAGTTATCAGAACAGCGAAAATTCAACATTTGCAGCGAGTTGCGTAAAGAGATTCGCAATGTCACAGAGGCAGGCGATTTTTGGCGTTTGGGAGGGATGTGACGCGGGGCGGCCAGGGCGGGCCCAGGGCCATGTGCCAATGTTGACCCACAAAAGCCGCCTTAAATGGCAGCCGTCGGCTGTCGGCCAACATGGATATGGCCAAAACTTTTTGTTTCTGTTGCTGTTTATGTTTTTTGTCTGCTTTTTTTTCGGCTGCTGTTCAATGCAAGCGGCTGCAGCTGTTGCAGTCGACGCTGAGACGAGCTAGCGACAGTTCGCACCCGTTGTCCTGGACCAGCCAGCCAGTCAGTGAGTCAGTGAGTGAGTGAGTGAGTGAGTCAGTCGGACGCATCCTTCAAGCTGTTTGATGCGACTTAACTGTTAATCGCTGTTGCTTTGCGCGCTCGTTTTGTGAGTCATTGACGCGATCGTATGGCTGCTTTCGTTGGCCCCGTTGCCGCTTTATGTGTGTTTATTTTATCAATGATTCATGCCGCGCATATGAAGATGTGTAACACACACACACACACACACACACGCACAAACCATCGGCACACGCATAGACACAAAGAGGAGACATGCAAATGTTGACAACGTATACACATATACTTGTGTGTTGCTTCTGTTCTTGTTTTCTTGTTTTTTTTTTGCCGTTTTCGCTGCTGGCCAAGCTTTGAGTTGGCACTTTGAACTTCTGCGCCCATTTTAAAACCAACACCCACTTACACACACGCACACTAATACCCATGACACACACACACACACGCACACTCACCAGCCAACTGATCCTCGGTGTAAGCTGCCTGTAAATGCAAAAACAGCAAGAATAAACACGCTGTAAACAAATTGCTTGTCGTTAAAGCAACAACAATTTTGGCCAACTTACCATATTGATTGAAACGTGGGAAAAACAACACAAAACACGGGATATATTGAATGCCAAATGCACTTAAACCAAATTATTTATTGGCGATGGTAGCTACTGCAGCACGAGTCATCGGTCATGTTATCGAACGTATCGCACTGGCAACATCGGCACTGGGCATTGCAAATTTTACAGCACTGGCACAGTTAAATTTATTTAAAATTAAAAATAAATATTGTAATTTTTTTGTTTTTAATTTAAATTTATAATTGTATTAAAATGCATGCATAGCATTTTTTAATTGTATTTAACTGGGCATAAAATCGCAATAAAAAAAATTGAGTTGGTCATTCATTCAATTAACCAAATATTTTCTGTTTCTTTATCAAGATATTAGGTTATCAATAGATACATTATGGATATATACAAACCCAGAACTGTTCGTACTCAACATGAATTTGTCATATATTCTTCTAAATAATAAACAAAACAAAGATTTTCTTAATTTCCTAAGTACAAATGTGCCCTAAACAAGGAATATTAATAATAGAATACATATTAAGAAATTAAAAGTTGCTCGATTAGCAAGATTTTCCAATGCTAACAGATCATACACAAAAGCTAAAATTATGTTTATTTTTTTGTTTTATTTTAAATTTACATTCACTTGCACGCTTGCTCTTGTTGGTTTTTTATGTGTGTGAGTTGTGTGTGTCGATTATTGCTTAAATTTAGTTTTCAATTGTGGTAAAAAGTATAAAAATTGAAGGATTTTCAGTATGTTTCTTTTACTGGCCAATACATTAGCTAATAAATATTTAAATATACACAACTGCAATTGTTTTGCAATTGTAACTTAGAATGTTTCTTTTTGCTACTGCTGCGAGCCTGAATAATGTTTTACGAGTACTTTTTTTGTTTTAATCGATTAAAAAAAAAAAGGTTAATTAAACGTAATTGGTTTTAAAATAAGATTATTAAAGAAATGTGTGTGTGTGATTTTGTGTGTGTGTGTGTGTGTGTGTGTGTTTTGTCGTTGTTGCACAATGCGGTAGCAACCAGCTCTATGTGTCCGACTTCCACAGTTTTATGGTCTTGTCGTTTTCCAGCGCAGCAGAGGCTATTATATTTTCTGTGGGATGGCAGGCGGTGCAGAGCACGGTGTCCGTGTGTCCCTGCAGCTTTTGTACAACCTCTTTGCTTTGTAGATTCCATATGTAAACCATGTTGTCCTCGCTGCCGCTGACAATCCACTGCGCCAGAGCAAGAAAAAAATGAAAAAATAATAGGCAAATTGAATATGTGTGCTCAGCGTAAATCAAATTGGATCTACCTTGCCGCCGGTAACGGAGAAGTTGGCAAATATGCAATACTTTTCGTTCTTGTGGCCCGTGTAGGTCTTCAGGCATTTGCCCTTGGAGTAGTCCCACAGTTTCAGTGTGTTGTCCAATGTGGCTGCCAGTATGTATTTGCCGTTGGGCGAGAATTTAACAAAGCTAACGGGCGGATTGTCGTCATCGATCAGCGTCTTCAGGCACTGTCCGCTAGCCGTGTCCCAAATGCGGCATAGACCATCATAGCTGGAGCTAACAATCAATGAACCATCACGATTGAAATGCACCGCCGAAACGGGATCCGAATGGGCGGGTAGAGTTTTCAAGCATTTGCCCGTGCGCACATCCCAGATGCGTACGCTCTCATCAAAGCTGCCCGATACAATCAAATTGGATTGCGGATTAAAATTACAGCAGAACACATAATTGCTGTGGCCCTTTAGCGTTTTCAGGCTCTTGCCGGTGCTCAGCTCCCAGACTTTAAGCGTTTTGTCATCGCTGCCGCTGACCAGCAAACGCGAATCGGAAGACCAGGCCACATCGCTAATGCCCAACTTGTGGCCGGATATAGTCTTCTCAAATTTGCCATCATATGCGCCCCAGATCTTTATGAGTTTGTCCGCAGCTGCAAAATACGATTGTTGAAATAAATTGCTTGGGATTGGCAACATTCAAAAATTCAACTCACATGAGCTGGCAAGCCATTCGCCATTTGGGCTGAACTTGACCGCAGATACGGCCTTGGTGTGCCCGGCAAGCGTGAATTTCAGCGTATAATTGGGCTTGACCGACATAGAACTCTTGTTTGATGTTGTGTTCGAGGATGTCGATGAGGCTGAGCTGGGCTGCAGCGTGTTTGGTCCACTTGGCGCTGTTGGCATTGGCTGCGGCGGCTGCTGCTGATGCACAACTCCGGGATGGCCAGTGTGCACGGCTCCAATGGGCACCATGGCGAATATTGTTTTCGCTTTCAACTAACCTTAATGTTTGACTCTGCAAAAAAGACAGACACAAGTGCACGACACACGCGTTTTACGTTTAAATAAAATGCAATTTGCCAAACGGCAACAACAACAACAGCAATGAAAACAAAAACAAGCCAACCACGCGGTTTTTTGGTTATTGCCAATCACTTGGTCACCGGCGGGGGGAGCGCTGTTAATGCTCTCGTGCGTGCAGAGAGTCTGCGCTGCTGCTGCGACTGGTTGCAATTTTCTTTTTTTCACCCTCTCGCTCGCTGTTATTGTAGCGCGGCGTGCTTCTTCTTTTTCATGCCAGTTTTACAAACTGTTTGTTATTATTGTGCAGCTCAATAATTACCTACAGCCAATGTTGGCGCCGGCTCCGTTTTGTTTACAATTTTGCTGTTGGTGCAGTTAGCAGCTTTGCTGTTGCTTATCTTGCAACAAATGCAATTTGTTTGCTTTTTTGCCTGCTTAACTTTGTGGCACGTGCTTCTTCTTTCCACTGCAATGCGTGCGTGAGCTAAAACATGGCGCGTACTTGACAGTTGTTGACAGTTCACGGCTGTTCACAGTGTTGAGCAGCGGCAGCACCATTTTGACACACAATACCCTGGTAGGTATGACACATGCACCATAGCTGCTTGCTATAAGCCTCATTTTCAAATACACAAGCGCGCCCAATTTATTGAACGTTGTTTGTAATCCATGGGGAATTTATATTTCTTAATAAATATAATAACAAAATTGTAAGTTGACTGGATGTTTGGCTCACTCTACACTTTTGACCAATACTTCTCTCCAGCAGCCTTCAAGGCATTCTACAAAAAATACATTAAGTTTATGTGTTATTTAGCAAACAAAGTGTATACGCCTCTGCTTTTGGTATCATTTGAGCAATTTGAAGCAATCTTTTTAGGATCATTTTCTAGTTCGCATTCAAATTGAAATATCCTGGTTAATAGCCATATTGAATAGAAGCATATTGAAATATGGCGATGCTTGTAAAGTGATTGCCGCAAGCATTCAAATAAGTTGCATTTTGCTGACTGTTTGGTCAGTTGCGGCATCTGCACAATCGCCGGAAAATCTTGCAAACCTTGCACAATCAAAATATGTGTGAGTACACACACACACACACACGAAAACTTAACCTGCAAATGAGTTGTAAAGTTCCGAAATGGCAGATTGATAATGACGCAGGCACTTTCTCAAATTTTTAAGAGAAACATGCAGTTAAACCAATTTGTTATATATGTATGTATGTGTACTTGTTTTTCATTGAATAAGAAGATATCAAACACATTGATTCATACACGTGAGACTTGCTAAACAAACACTTGAATTTGACGTGCAAATATTTAAAAGACTTTACAACTTTTACATCTTTTTAATGCTTGCTAGTTAAACTTTAGCCACTGGTTCTAAAATAACGTGTTTTTCCACACTCTTGTTTGACTTGGCATTCAAAATGGTGGCCAACATTTTGAGCGGCTTTTTTGTTTTGGCGCACTTTTCGGTAATGCAAAAGTTGATTTTCTCAGGTTTCAAATGCCAATGATTGTGTGTGTGTGTGTGTGTGTGTGCGTGTGTGTGTGTGTGTGTGTGTGTTGGCCAAGGTCAAACAGTTTTCAATAAAAGCAACAGCCATAACATTTTACTTGGTGTCATGTGCGGGGTCTTTTGTTTTGTTTCTTTTTTTTAAGCTGCGTTCGCCTATTTTATGACTGCATTAAATATACGAATACGCTAACAATTATGGAAATGCCCCAAACCAACTTCTCAGCTGAAATATAGAGCGCATCGAATACTCTTTATCGCAAGAAAATGTGGACCAACTGTAAATAGTCCATCTCAGTTTTGACTCTGTGTGGAATAGTCAGATCGGTATAAGTTACATTTAATACTCTTAAAGTTAAAGGGAAATTTGATTAGCCTTAATAATCGTAATACTCTCACAACAAGACGTACCGGTATTTTTCAAGGCTTGACTTTGGGTTTATAAAGCTAGCTATAGCTGATTTATCTGCTTAGTTCTCTACTAAATGACGAGTTCTTATAAATTGAAATTCCTATATCGTATGTGCATATAAGAGCATTCACACTTCTGCATTGCGTTGCAAATTTTTCTCGTGTTGTTGTTTTAGTTTTTACCACGCATTTGTCTTCTGCTTCTGCTTCTGTTTCTGTTTCTGTTTCAGTGTCTGTCTCTCTGTCGCTGCGCTGCTTCTTAATATTTGACAGTTAAGTTTTAATACAAGTTGTATGTGTGTTGCTGTTGTGTCGCATAGTTTAACTTGCGAAACACGTAGAGCCGTCGGGGCGTCAACGGTTGGGCGGAGGGAGGGGCAGCAGCGACGGGCATAGCAAGTGGAGCGCATACGAAAATTGTTTGCCAATGTCGCGATAAAACGCCGACAACTACATAAAAGCATAAAATGTAAGACAAACACTCGATTACCACATACCCTGTACTAAGCTATTAGTACGGTTTATTAGTCAAATTTTTGTATTATTACTCTTATTTGCATAAAGTATTTTTTTATTTTAACTGACGGCTGCATCAATATAAATTTGATAACTGTACGTCTTATTTTCTCTGAGCAACCAGACTAGCCAGTTGTGCGTGCTCTATGCTGGCGTAACATACCTTGTGCATCGACTTTATAGGGTATTGGAAACGTGCAGAGGTGAAACACAACAACGCGGATAAAAGAAGTTAAATGTGGCCGCTGGACGCATACATATACGAAAAGGGCATGGCCACTTGTACGCTTCATAGAATACACACACACACACACACACACACACACACACACTCGACCTTCTGGTCGATATGAAACAATTGCAAATAGATTACGTAAATAGCACAACGGACCAAAAAAAAAAAATGGACAAGCTCTGCATGAAAAGCCAGCCAAGCCGTCTGCAATCCCGCTGCGTCAGTTTCTCACACGCACACATGCACACACGCACACACATGCAGCCGGGCGGCTGGCTATCAGCGGGAGAGGGCGGGCGGCAGATCTTGAGTCGTACGGCGAGTGCAATGGCTTAAACCAAACTTACAAGCTGCACGCCCGCTGCCGCGCCCCACCCTCTGCTCCAACACAATTTTCGTTGGGCCACTTTGTTTTGTTTTTTGTTTTTTTTTTTTGCGAGCACTGGCAACGCCATGCCAAGAAACTTCACACACAAATCAGTTGCAATCGCGAATTAGCGTCGCACAGACGCGCTTTTTATTTTCTCCCGCTCGAAAGACGCCAATTGAATCTTTGACACACTTTTGTTGCTCCTTTGTGTTCGTTTTGCTTTTTTTTGAGTTCGTTTCGAAGAAGAATGGTGCATAAACAGGATAATGAACAGCTGATGGCGCAGCGTCTGGCCGAGCTTCAAAGTTTGATTAAGGCGCAGCCGCAGCTACCCCACAATATTTGTACGTAAAAGGATGTTGGTCAATTCTTGTGGAAATATAAGCAACAGTTTGTAATTAAGATTTGCTTACAAACTGATCTTAAGTTCAAGTTCCGAAATCAGTTTTAAACTGTGCAATAAAATGTTATTGGATCCTTTTGTCTACTATCAGTCGAGATTGAAGCGCAGAAATGCTTGACAAAGATCTTGTCTATATGTAATTATGAGTGCCGCAATCCCAAACTTATCGATAAATCGGTTTCCGGCTCGAACCGGTTCGGTTCTAGTCCAGCCTTGATATATCATTGTCCAAGTTCCGATCAAAGTAACGCTCAGTTAAGTTCCTAAATTTAATATTAAGGTTCTAATAGAATCACACATGCGCAAATAATTTTGAATTGTAAGCAACGACTTAGGTTAAGTTCTTGATTACAAACTATTTTTGAATAGTTTCAACTTAAACGTCACATTTTTGGTTGAATAATAATTGATTATCAATGGAGGAAACAAAGGTGCTAAGTGGAAAATTTGTATGGGATAAGCTCTAGCTTATATTTCTACACGTATTGTCTAGTACTTCGAAAAAACCTAAAGCTCAGCTAAAATCAATAAAGGAAGCAACGATTTTAATGAAGCGCTAAGTGGGCAAGCTGCTTAGAATTATGAACAATAGCTTTAGAACGGGTTACGAGCTTGTTTGCCGCCTATCCAATATGTTAGGTTCAACAATGGGCCCAAATCTAGGCTTGACACTGAAACAAGATATCATATGGTTTCGATTTGGAATCTGAAAAATGCTTTGAAATTTGATTTTAATTAATGTCACTCGAGAATCTTTGATACATGAGAAAATAATTATAAAAGTTATTGGGCAAGCAAACTTGATCAAAGTAGATATTAAAGAGTAAAGAGCAAATATAATGGCACAGGTCATGCATAAATTTTAGACCTTAGTCGAAACTAAGGTGGGATTCAAGTACCTTTGTAACTGGCAGTTCCCAGCAAAGTTTAGCCAGCGACTGTTGAAATCTAAGTGCAAATCTAACTAGCCGTAACCCATAATCAAAACGTAATCACATTTAAGTATTTGATTGCCAGCATTACGTAAACTCTTAGATTCGTGAATTATGTAAACACTTGACTAAATGGGAATTATGCATTATGCAGACTTGGACTAGCACTCTTCTCATCTACATATATGTTGCTATACCCATCGAAAATTGGTAAAAGGGTATAATGGTTTTGTGCAAATGTATGTGACAGGCAGAAGGAAGCATCTTCTCTCCTATAGCATATTTCTAGATCCTTGTCATATAGTGCTCACTAATGCCATATTAAAGTCCTGAAAATTGCTTCAAGATCGGACTATAAGCACCGAAGCTTATCAAGTATGCATTTCTAATAGTTTAGGGCTCAGGGCAGGGTATCTCCCAGTCGGGCACTGCCGACTAGAGCACTCTTGATTTCTTTGTGGGTCAACTAACTTGAATTGCGGCACAAAGCCAGTTGCATAACTCGCTGGCGACCACATTAACCACAACTAAATTGCACCTTTTTTTCTCTCCCTCTCTCTCTCTCGCGTCCCCCCTCTCTCAACTGTGACTGCAACTGCAACTGCAACTGCATTGCAATATTTATTAGCGTCGACATTGCTGCGGCGATTTCTGCACACGACGCGCGGCGATGTGGCTGCCGCACAGCGTCTGCTGCAGCTCAACTATGCCATGCGCAACAAGCATCCGCAAATTTTCATCGATCGTGATCCAATGGATGCCAGCTCCCAGCAGCTGTTGCAAGTCGCGTAAGTGCATGGCCGCTAATCTAGAGATGAGCGCGTGTCGCATTTGCTTGAGCACGACACGACACGACACGACACGACACGACACTAGTACGCACACGAGTTTTAAAAACATAAAGCGAAACAGTTATTTATTCAATTTTCGGAGTTTCGATTCGGTATTCAGGTTCGGCTGCGATCAGCATCGAACTACTATATCCTATAGCTCCCATAGATAGAATCGATCGTAAAGCAAACTACTTTCATGCGTTACTATCAAAATTACTAGAATAGAGAGGTACTAGGTATGCTTCCATATCGCCCAATTAATGGACTTCTTGCTTCTGATGTCGTGTCAGGT